AGAATATTTATTACCATCAAATAAAATTAACGTCGGGCAAGGTGCACGACGTACTCTTTGTGAATTCACCTCATCAATGGAGGAAGGGAAACAAGGGAAAATAACAGCTTTCTACAATAATTGCTTACAATATTATCAAGAACTTTTCCAACAAACAGTTAAAAGACTGCCGTTCCAGAACAACTTCATACGCGACTTATCTTTTCTCATACCAGAAAATGCTCTGCAAAAGAACAAAAACTTTGGCCAATTAGATTCGATATTCGAAAAATTCAAAACGAAAATTTTGGAAATGGATACCACGAAAGAGTGGTGTGAGCTCGGACGGCTCATTGAACAAAAGGAAGTGGACGATCTGTCTAAATTAAAGCCAGTACAATTTTGGTCTAAAATACAATCAATGAAGTCCTCAAACAATAAAGAAATGTTTCCAAACATTTCAAAATTGGCGAATATGTGTCTGTGTCTTCCGCATTCGAATGCGGAAATAGAACGTTTCTTTTCGATGGTCCGTGAGGTACAAACTTTAGATAGAAATCGTTTGAAGCCAGACACTATCGCTGCAATAACAAGAATAAAACTGCACTTAAGAAACACTAAAAAAACCAGCATTGACTATCCTGTATCAATCGACATGCTAAAATTATTCAATTCGAAAATGTATAATAAAAAAGTAATTCCCGCGAATGTATCAGACGTAATTGTACAAGACGAAGCGGATGACAATGAGAGTACAGATACTGATGCTGAATAAATGTCTTTTTAAACAAATAAAATTCCATGTTTTTATTATTTACCTCTCCCGAATAGATTCAATTTGAAATTTAGAAACACGAAAAATCGAAATACGGGCGAAAAACAGGGGAAGCGAGCCGTGCACGAAAAAATATGCGCAGTGCGCAGTTACTGCGCAGATGCGTTGTTTTGCGTGGTCTTGCGCATAGGTAAAGGTACTGTGGAGGTTAAGTTCAATCAGTTTAATGAAATAAAAACTTGACAAGAACCGGTGCCGGTAAGTACGGTTGTCGGTTACAGAAAGTACGCTCATCCAAACAAAAGACAAATGTTACTCGTGCCGTGTAAACCTATTTTCGGTTTGGTCACTTTATTTTGTTTAGCCAGAGGAGTCACAGTTAATAATTACAGAAATATGAGCAGTCTCGCTGGAATTCATTCTGTCACTTATGTCACAGTTCCTACTCAGGACGTTGCTAAGAAATTGGCTCAGTAAGAATCAACATCATAACCTGACGATCACGGATTGTTTACTTGTTGTCGGATAACGATTTTAATTTGTTTCAATCTAATTTACAGCGGTCTGGTAAAGAACAAACTTGCTGCTTGTGTCAATATCATACCAGGTCTCACATCAGTGTACGTATTAAACAATATAAAATTAAACATAAAATAGAGTTGAATATTCAGTCAAGCAATTTAAATGTCTATACGATTTCTGTCTTGCATATACTGTGAATTTACATAGATTTGTATAAGTGAAATTATGTTATCTTACAGGTATGAATGGAAAAATGAAATTAATGAGGACAGTGAACTTCTGTTGGTAAGTGTATACACACTTGATTACACACATGATTACATGCATAATTTATTCAAGTTACTGATGTATTCTTTATGTTTTATTTCTGTTACAGATGATAAAAACTAGAACTGACACTGTTGATGCTTTAACAAAATTTGTGAAGTAAATATATGTTTCATTGTGTTATCTTATTTGAAGTCATAATAGTAGTAATTGTTTATTTCATACGTTTTGGTCTTGAAAGGGGTATTACATTTAGTGATAAGATACAGTAATCGTAGTGTTATAATATTCAATATCTATAGTTGTCGTTGGTTTATGTATCAGTTTTCTTTTTTTCTGTTGCATCCTTCTTAACACTTTACCGACCGGTCGTCGATTAATCGGCTTTTGATCTTCCTGTTAGATTTGGCTAGACTGTCAAGTAGCAAGCAGCAAGCATTTCGCATTCTTTATTCAGATAATCGGTGCTTTTCTCTAAGCGTTAGCCCTTAAAAATGAATGAAAAGGATAGTGTAGGTGAGTTTTATCTCGACGACCTGTCAGATTGTCTTGACTGCCGTTCAGCAAGTAATACTGATGACGAAAGTGATAGCAGTTGTATAGCGATGTAAAGGGCATAGTATGTTCGAACCGCTACCGGTCGGTAAAGTTTCTAATTGATGTTATTTGAAATTGTAACATTGAAATTAATTTCGACTGGAATTTTTATAGGGAAAATCATCCATACGAAGTCTGTGAAGTAATTTCATTACCAGTAAGTAGCTTTATGTGAATCGCAAGTAAAGGGAGTTCTATCGATGATAGAATTAACAATCTGATTTAGTTCAAATTTAGTATACTGCAGGTAAAGCTTTTAAAAAGACGTAGTTAAATTTTTAAAGACTAAAGGCGGGTACCTATATACATAATATTTTTATTTGGTATATAATACTTTAATAAGTCTTTTCTTGATGTTTCTTAAAAGCTTTACCTAGTAATATAACAAATTTCATCAAACTCTGATTGTTAAGTTTATGTACAGAGCATAAATTGAACATTCGCAAATAATGTTTTATTTCAGATCCAGAATGGAAATGATAAGTACCTCAACTGGATAAGTGAGATAGTACCGCCAATCGACCAAAGGGAAAAGCAAGAATAGATTCAGGAATTGAAAAAGAGGTGAGGTTTTACAACAGTTATGAGAACTGAATAGATTTTATAATTGTTATAACTTCTATCAGTTTCCAATTTCAATTGAATAAAGAAATGATTGAAAGGTACAAATTAATACAATTATTTAAATAACAATTTCAGCTATGTTTATTATATTTTTACATTATATATACAAAATATGTAATATGAATTACGTAATTTGTACATTTAACAAAAAAATGGAAAACCATGATACTAGTGTCCCTGAAAAAACATAAAAAAGGAACAGGTAGTATATAGAAACGAGATAGCGAACAGAAATGTGTACTATAAATTTGGCTACGCTATTAAATGCCATTACTAAGTACATGAAGATAATATTCATTACATTTGAAAATCCTGCAAAGGACAACAGACCTATTTACAAAATTCGCTTGAAATCTGAGGACATCGAATTCCCATTCAACCTCATTTATAATTCCACGTTTACAAACTTTTAGATGATTATAGTACATTGAATGGGAATTCAATGTTCTCTGATTTCCAGCGAATTTTTTAAATTGGTTTGTTGATGACTCTAGTCTTTAACACGTTGACTGCCGCGCGTGTTTTCAATGAAATTTCCTTCAGGCCACAAGTGCCGCGGCACCAAGCGTACTCGCAAGAACTTCCCGGTTCGTTTGTTTGCATGATATCATGTTTGGTCATTTGTTTACATTATTAAATACCTGAGGTCCTCACTTATTACCTCGCCACTCCACACGATCAGTTTGAATCTTTGCCAAATAACAAGCGGTATAACTTAAAATCTCTGCCGTAATTCGTTCCAATGTCGAAAAGAAAAATGGAAAATTTATTTCTTAGTAAGACAAATAGCAGTGAAAAAGAAAGCTGTTACGAGATTTACACAAATTCGGAAAGTAGCGTTGAGTAGCAATTGTCTGATTCTGATTCGGATATTGATAAGTGCAGTCGTAGTGATATTGAGTGTTATGGAGATACTATTGACGAAACTTTACAAGAATTGATCATTGAGGAAGAAAGAAGAGCTGATGATACCGAAGAAACTACAATTGACCATTTTAACAATTCAATAGTTTTATTATATCCTGCGGAATATCTTTTCAAATGCTTATGATGATCCTTTGTACGTAGCCAAATAAGCGTCACCCGAAAACGGATGACACGGCCCGACGAAAATCTTTGCTGTCACACTAATATGGGTGACGCGGCAGTCAACGTGTTAAGTCATCAATGCGATTAATTGCAATGTTGACTAATCAAATAATATATTAGACAAAAAGAGAATTAAATAGTTCTGATATCTTTTCAGCTCTCAGCATTTCAGTGTTTCTTTTACTATTTACACCCGATGGAACTGGCAGGATAGAATTAGTACAGGACGACATTGACTGCCGATCGTTCTTACCTCCATTCCTTGGGTCACGAGCATTACGGACGAATCTCTATTTATCAAATACAACTTTTTTTTAAGATATACATGTACTTTCAGTTATTTTTCAACTTCAGTCTCGATCAAGCATAGTAAAATAAAATAGAAGTTAAAGACTATTGAGCTGTCTGAGCTACTGGATCTGGTCATAAATATCCTTTGTACTAAACATTGTATACGTAACATATTTCTTATTTAATAAAATATTATATTTCTGTTCTCACCAGAAACTCGTCTAGAATTTTATCTATCAGCGTATCCTGGCTAATACATGTTATAAACTGTAAATGGTGGTAAAAGTTATTCAGAGCGATTTGTTCTATTTTTATTATTCATATTGGGTACTTGAATAAGTTCCCATCGCTTACTGATAACTGCAGTAACCGTATGCGTGTGCGTATAATTTAAAATGGTAACTTATCTATATGCATAGTACTATAAACAAACTTCTTCTGGAAAAATGGCAAAATATTATACCTAACGATAGAAAATACTTTCAATGAGATATAGCTTATTTTTCTATTTTAATAAAATCTTAAATTTTAGCAAAAAATGGCCGAAACTTATAGATGTAGTTTTTATTAAAGCTACATTTGAAAATCTAAAGCATTTTCAGCATAACATATAATTGTTAACACGTTGAGCGCCTAATATTGACCGACAAAATATTGTAAATCATGTTATGAAGAAAATGCGACACAATCTGGTAGAGCAATGGCCAGAAAAATGACTAAATAAGTTGTTACATTTTGTGATACCTGCGAAAGACAACCGTTTTTATGTTTACCGTGTTTCAATAAAATCCGTTAAAATGCATTAATGATATAATCCTGTAATAAATAAAAATTAAGTAAATTTTAAATAATTTTTAAATAAATTTTCAGTAATTACTTAAAACAATGTATTTTTAGTTTTATATCATATTTTACAGTCACCGGTGACTGACGTGGCACTCAACATGTTAAGAATGTAAAAGAATAATAAATCAGATGAATTAAGTATAGAACAATCGTAATTAGTAATGTAACAGCAGTTAATAGTAATCAGTGTATCTATAAGTCAAATTGTGGTTCCACGTTTCGTTTCACATCCACGTTGGATACGCTTGAAAGGAATTGAAGGAAGTTCACCAGTGACGTGCTCGTGAACAAGTGAGCAATATGGCCACAAGGGAGAATAATCTTCCCGTTTTATACGGAGAATTAAATAAATTGGGACAGAATGGAGAATACGAAAGAGCCATAAAAATTGCCAACAAAAGTGAGTTTCCTTAAATTTGCGAGTTATGGTATCGCAGTGAATGTACTATCAGTATAACCTACTTCCTCCGAATAGCACGCATAAAACTCTGGAAATTCTTTAGTTTTAGGCATTTCTCAAGAAGAGGCAGCTGCATTTCGCTGCAAAATCATTTGCTGTATTCAATTATCTAAATTCAATGACGCGCTTCAGTTCATTTCTAAAAATCCCAAACTAGCAAGGTACGTCCTTCGTCTGCTGTCATGTTAAAATAATGTGAAAGTGACCAAACAATGTGCATCAATAAATTTGTTTTAGTTACTTGTATGAGAAATGTATGTTTGCTATTCTATTGCAGTAATTTACACTTTGAAAAGGCATACTGTTTGTATCGACTGAACCAAGAACGAGAAGCTTTGAAGATCGTAGAAGTCATCCCTAATCCTTCACTAAAACTGATGGAACTTAAAGCTCAGATACTGTACAGGCTTGAAAAATATGAGGAATGTTTCTCTGTATATAGAGACATTATAAAGAATTCTCACGATGAGTACGAAGATGAAAGAGAAGCCAATCTTGCTGCAGTGATTGTAAACTTAATAACTGAGGATTCTGTAAGTTCTTGATATTATACGAAAAATCAAATCTTAAAAGTATTAATTTTTCTATAAATCCTGTGTCGCTTTAAACAGAATTTGGAAGTCCCTGTGTTGCGTGAAGACACGTATGAATTGGTGTACAATGCAGCTTGCCGTTTAATCGCGGAAGGTAGCAAAGGGGACAAAACTGCTTTGATTGAAGCAGAGAAGAAGCTACGAACAGCAGAGAAAATGTGTAAAGAAGCTCTTGAAGAAGATGGTGTTGCGGAAGAGGAAATTGAAAACGAATTAGGTATTATTAGAGTTCAGCTCGGATGTTGTCTTCAACTTCAGGGTCGCGAGAAAGAGGCTCAGGCTTTGTACACTTCTACTTTGAAGGCGAAACTGGATGATATAGCTTTGATAGCTGACGCAAGCAATAATCTCGTGTGCCTCAATAAAGATCAAAACGTGTTCGACAGCAAGAAGAGAATGAAGAACGCTACTCACGATAGTTTGGAACATAAATTAACATCGAGACAAAGAAGGACAATCGCGTATAATCAGTGTCTGCTGGCTCTGTACACTGATCAGGTATGATTGTTTATTACCGAAGCATACCTTTGGTGTCTATTGTTTGCAGTTATACTATATAGTATGTCCATATGATTGCAGGCAGAACAGTGTCAGCAGTTATGTAATAAACTTGCTAAGGATCATCCTTCGTTGGCTGCAGACGCGATGTTCATTAAAGCAATACAACTTGCTAAAGATGGGAAAGCGAAGGAAGCAGCAAAATTGTTGATGCCGTATGCGGTTGGAGAGAAAGAATTACAAATGAAGTTGGCGTGTGTACAACTTTTGTTGAGTCAGGACGAGAGGCAAGAAGCAATCAGTATTCTCGAGAATCTAAACGAGAGAGACAGATCGTTACCTGGTATAGTAAGCGCGCTGGTGACTCTTCACATGGCTGATAACAATCGTGAAAAAGCGTCCGCTGCTCTTAAAAACGCAGTTAATTATTACAAGAACAGTAAGGTAGGCATGTCTCGTTTTAATATGTTTTCGTTCATCGTGACGCCTCTTCTTATTTGATATTTACTTTCAGGAAGCCACGACTAATTTGGGAGAGTTCTGGCGCCAAGCTGCAGACTTTTATTTCCGCGGAGGGGAGATTAAAGTGGCGGCTGATATTTTACAAGAAATGGTAGATGCTTCGCCTTCCAATACCAAGACGTTGGCGCAATTAGTAGTAGCCTATGTACAGTTTTGTCCTGAAAAGGCACAGCTTTTATCGAAACGCTTACCTCCGTTGCACGATCTATCTGAAACCACCGATGTCGATGCTTTAGAAAGCAGTAATTGGGTAATCGGTACCAAGGTGATCAAGAAAAAAGTAGAACCATCGCCTGGGTAAATATCCTATATGAGAAACATTTTGATGAATGCCTAGTCTATTTGTAGAGATTTTCCATTTTTATAATCTCACGATCTTCGATTTCGATTTCACGATTTATGCATTTTCGGAGATTATATATAATAGGTGGATTTCCTTACATGCAAATTTTCTATAAGTGCATAAAAATCCGCAGTCAACGTGTTTCCGCGTCAGGTATGTTTCTTATAAAAATATAATTAATTGATGTTCTGTAGCAAACCTATTGTTGATGGGACGGAAAAGAAACGCAAGAAACGTAAACGTAAAGGAAAGTTGCCTAAGAATTACGATCCAAATATTCCACCCGATCCTGAGCGATGGCTGCCAAGGCATGAACGTAGCGGATTCAGGAAGAAACGGGATAGAAGAAATCGGGATACCGCAATGAAGGGCACCCAGGGTGCCGCAGCGGGTGCCAGCGATATGTAGTACGTATTAAAAATATGTTTTGTACACTTCGAATAGGTCTGACATGAGATTTATAATTGTCGTCTATCTTTACAGCGATATCACTAAAATGCCAACGAACGCGAAACCTTCTCCGAATCCCCGACATAGCCCAGCGGTAGAAACTTCCGGTCCACGGCAACAACAACGCAAAGTTCAACAAAAGAAGAAGAAAAAGGGTGGGAAGTGGTAATTTGTGTATTACTGTTGCATTCGTCTCTGAAATATATAACGTGTCTATGCTAGGGTGCCGATCGATGATTGAACTCAATGATGATGTGCGTCTTAGTAGCGGATAACTTTTTCAATTATACACATTTTTTATCGCTGTACACGTGTATAGTATACAAAATACTGCCATTTATAAGCTGACGTACTTTATATCGGTCTCGCTCGATGCAGTGCACAGTTTTCATTTATTAATTTGTTGTTAGATTAAAGTGCAACGTTACTGTGAGTTCACCAGGCAATTTGGGAATACACATGGAAAGACGTGGTACAGAAAATATTTTTATTTATTTTTTTTCTCCTTCGTCTCCTTGCCAACTTGTTCACCAAAATTCGACAATATAATATATAATATACGTAACACGTCTCTTGCATACATTGACTAGGATTTGGCGATACATAATCTTTATTCCTCTGTTCGTGGTAACAATTGTATAGAAAAATACAATCTGTTTTGAATTATTCTTTTCCTTAGCGAATCTGTAATTCATGTTTCGTAGATTGTGATTGTGCGTCAGATTTTTAACATTCATGTAACAGATTTATATATTGTATATATAATATAATAAGTGGCATACGATTCGTAAATACAAATAATCAGACGCTCCGATCAATAATAAAAATTCCACGGTCTTATTTCGTTAACATGTAGTTCTCATTGTCGCGAAATTATAACTTTGAGAGGACACGCACACTTCGATTACATATCGTTTTATATGCACGGTTACACGTACACGTGTAAAAGGATATTCTCATTTTCTATCGCCTTAACTTATTGTCTCGTATTATCATTACACAACACAGCATTGTTTGTCGGTTCATATATAAATTTATAACAGAGGCAACTGTCGAGGTAAGAATAACCGTATATATCATAAAATTTTCTACTTCTGCTTTTCTACAATAGTTCTCTAATATGTCAAGGCTGTAAATCGCCTCCAACTAGGCGGTCCACTTAAAATACTTAATACCCCTTCGTTAAAAAATAGTATGACAGGCACGCTCTCATATCCACCTTGTCTGTGATCAACATCGTGATATGCACAATACGTAGAAAAGAAACAAGCGCTGGGAGAAACTGATTTTGTCAGTCGTAAGCAACTATAATATCGGTTACTCGATGGTTCTGTCATGCCGCACTCATCTATCGGTAAGCGATCGTCCCATGTGTTCCCAAAACCAGTCGCCAAATCAAGTTCGACAAAAATGTGTTTGTCAAAGATGAGAATAGATGAGTAAGGCACAAATGTATGTAAATGTCATTAAACACTTACACAGTGGTGTAAACAATTCCGTTATATATTATGTTAATATATAATCGTTACGTTACCATCAAAGAGTGCTACTTCTCGGGTATAATGCCTTCCCAGGCATCCTCCCTTTGTTTGTTAGCTAATCTACGCTTCTCTGTAAACAAATAAATTTTGCTTCAATATCTCGAAGATCGCGAAAATGATTACATTTTTATACACATAAATGACGGGGGTAAAGATGAATCTTTATGATGATCTTATGATATATGAATATACTATAAAGGACGTCAGAATCTAAGCTATGGAAGCAAGCTAAATAACCAAGCTAAATAAACAAGCATAGGAAACAAGCTAAAGAAACAATCTACTGGAATAAGCTAACAAGTTATGAGAGCTAGATAATTAAAAACCTATTAGAAAAAATGCTTAAAAAAAATTTTGAAAGGATTTTAAATAGTTTGAACCCTATGCTAGAGGAGCCTAGAGCAATAAAAAGAGAAGAACTAACTATCAGGAAGGAAAAAGCCTGCAGATGTCCATAGTTTTGAGAAAAAGGAGGACTATTAAAGGAATCTTTGTATGTAACTCCCTATTTTGAGACCGTAAGGCGTAAAATAAACAAGTTACTATTTAACAAGCATAAATAACATATACCTTTAGCTTCGCGTAATATGTTCTTTTCGTGTTCGCGTTCCTGTCTAGCAGTGGCCAGTTTTACGCCTAAAGCACCCGTAACCAAACGTCTAGCCAGCGCCGCGCACGTTTCCGGGCGACTTCTATAAGGCTGCAAAAATTCAGCGCTCCTTTTCGCTTTAGTTTTGCTTAAAGCAGTTGCCTCGCTCAGCGGCCTAGTTTTAACGAAGGGATGATCCGACGCCAATACCTCGGCGGCTAAAAACGTGATGCAACGATTAAATAATTGTTGACCAACCGCACCGAACGTGATCGTGATTCATTTTTTAATTACCAACAAGAGGACTACTGAAGACACCCAGGCAATGCGTATCGTCTACCCACTTTAATTCAAAGCCACCATTTTTGAAAGGACTGAAAACTGCCGCTAGATCGCTAGTTTTAAATTCGGATGGGAAATTGTATATTTCAAGAACGTGCGCAAATTCATCGCTAGATACTTCGATGTGTTTGCTGTATGGTTTGTAATCGTTCTTCGGTTGTTCTATCATAACGTCACCGACAGCCGACGTTAACTGAAAATCAAATATACCAAAGTTAAAAATAATTTTTAGTCTGTGAACGATCCGAAAAAACGAAACTGGAGATTCGTATATACTTGCCTCTTCTATCAGAGTTGGATCCAAACAGTCACCATTGTCGTCGAACAAGCTGTCCCAATCACATTCGTCCCTGTTTATTTTTTTAACAGGTGGAGAAGGCGGTGGCGCCGGTTTACTTCTCTGTCGAATCACTTTCTTTACCTTCTTCTCCGGCGGCGGCATAGGAACAGGAATGACTTCGTTAACTTTCGTTTTTGGTTCTTTTTTATTCTTAGTGTCGGAAATAATTAACACGTTCGACACCATATTGTGACGCGTCATCTGCGCGTTTCTTTGATTCGTTATTTCATCTTTATTCGAGAGTTCCGTATTTATCTTGTTATTGTTCTTGATCGTATTGGTCACGATATTGTCGTCCTTATACTTATCAGGTCTATCTACTTCTTCATTAACATTAATTTCGCTATATGTACATATGTCGACTGTGTCTAAACTATCCTTATTTTCACTAGAATCTCTGGGTATTTGCTTTTCGCTTTGCGATTCAGACGTATTACTTATCTCGCAAACAATTTCGAGTGCAGTAGAACTATTTAAATCATTTGGCACATCCTCTAATTGCTCAGCTACTTGTCTGTTACTAATCTCTACTGTAGATGCTTTTAAATCAGTTGAAGAATATATATCCTTCGAAGTTACTTCAATACGCTCGTTAATCTTCGGTTCTGAGTTAGATCGATCTCTATCAAGACATTCGTTTGATCCCTTTTTCACATGTTTCGCGTTTTGTTGCACATCAGAATCTTCCGGTTTAGTATCGGGACATGATTTCGATTGTCCTTGAGAAATCTCCTTGGCCGTACGATTCACGCGAATAGACTCAACTGGTTGAACATTTCCTTCCGTTTCCAGACTTCTACGATGCCTCGGTACGTAGACTGCACGATCTGGCCTTCTCTGACGAGGAGTTCTTAATAATATTAAATTAATTAAAACGTGTAACATATAAAAGCAATAATAAATCATTATCTACTGGCAAGAAAGAGTTTCTTACTTCGCAGTGGATGAATCTGCGGCCGGTTGTACTAGTACTTGGTCCACGTTTGTTTGAATTTCATGCTTGGCTCTCCTAGCAGCTGGTGGCCTATAAATTTCAACGGCCGGCGTTGACTTTGCTGGAAAGAATCGAACATCCCAGTTAAATTTATGTTATATTTATAAACGTAAAACAGCTTTGAGAATCACCTTGTCTTTGAACTCGCACACGTTCCGGAGATGCAGAGGACGATCGTGATAGCCTTTCAACGCCCATTTCTAACAATGAACTGCTATTTTTCGTTGTACAATTTGGTGTAGGCTCTACACCATTCAATTTTGAATCCCTGAAACGTCAGAAAGAAAAAAATTAATATGCCTGCGTATAATCGACACTGTTTTTAAAGAAGTTGTATGTGACCGGATTAGAGAGAGTACAGTTTGAAACAATGATTTTTGATTGTGTTAGTTTCTCCTACGAGGACAAAGCCCGAAAATAGAAGTAAATCTATACCTCCAATGCTCGACTAGCATGTTTGGTTAAATATTAACAAAAGCTAATGGTGCAAGGATTCAGGATCAAGGATTTTTGTATAGATGGTGCAGATAGATGATGAGAAAATGGGAAGAAGAGGAGCAAAAAAGTTCTGAATTTTGTGGGGACAGATACGGGAATTGAGAATATTATACATATAAAAGAATGGAGCTTTGGAAAGGATTATTAAAAGAAAAATTACGGATGAAATGGAGAATGAATGAATAAATAAGAAGTTTGTTATGAAAAGGAAAAGAGGCAATAAGAGATAGGAATAAACTTGGAAGTGTAATACATGTACAGTGACCATTCGTTCTGTATTTCCAGGACCAGTTCTGGTCTTCAGCAGTCAGTTCCCGAAATTTTTTCAAGAAATACAGAAATACAAATGTTCTGAATTTATTTGTTAGTCCCGTATTTGCATGTTATACATATAAGTTATAATAATATAAAAATGGGTCTTTTCCAACTAAGTTTCTAATTTTTTCCTTTAGTAATCAATTGTAATAATCGGATATTTCTACAAAGTGGTCGAGTTCACTTTTAATTCTTTGTAAATGTTTGTGATTGATGAATTTTGAGATGGTTTTGTTACATATTAATTTTATTTTTGTTTCTTTTTCTTTTCGATTTAAGCAATTCCTTTTTTTGAATTATTCTTTTTCTTCCTTTCAATAAATGATTTATGAAATAATTCAATGTACAAATATTTCTATTTTTTGCTGTTTGTGTGTTGTTATAATTATCGTCTTCTTTTTTGTCCCTGATTTCATTTAAAAAAATATGGTCACTGTAAATACATATGGCACTAAGTTAGTTGTTAATATTAGATATAGTAGATTTTGTTACACATTATTGTTAGATTTATTTTATTAGAAGTATAGTGAGAATGAATAATTATGCATGATTACTGATAAGAAGAAAATTTTGTTTTTTCAGGTCGAACAACTTAAAATAAAATGTATGTATCCTATTCTGTTAAAACAGATTTTCCATAAATGCCCAAAGATCAGTTGAAGAACGCAACTCTACATTAATACTGTTTTACATTTTAACTACATTTTTAAAACGAAGTGTAAATAAACACGCATACACCTGCACATTTTTCAGAAATTCGAATGATTACTATTAGGGTAGTTTGAAAGCGCATGAAAAATACGAACCAAGGGCCGGTATTCAGAGTCGTTACTTATATTTAAGATAAGTATTTGCTTAAGTTCCTGTTTTCTGTACAAGACAGGGACTGGAAACATGGGATAAACAGGTATAACAACTGTTTAAGACGATCTTAAGAATAGATGACTCTGAATAACGGCTAAAGTCTTTAATACAGAAAAAAGAAAGTGATTAAAGACGTAAATTAATTCATTATGTAGTTAATACATCAATAAAAGCCAATAATAATTCTTTATACATTTTTTTATCTATATATAGACGCTGCGGAGGAAGCCGATTTCCACTTCCTTCTTAATTTGAAAATTCATGTTTCTTTACATTCCGCTTTAAATATGTAAAATGAATTATAAAACTGGCAATGATAGAAAATCCGATGGCAATCGAGCATTGAAAACACGAGGCATAGATTCATTATTATCTTCAGGTCTTGTCACCATAGTGGAAACTACCACAATAAAAAACGAATCGAGAACCATTGTCCCAAGCTGTACGTCGCGCGACCTTGAGCCGGTCAAGTTTCACTTTCGTTCGCCACAGCTACGTCGTAAGAATTCCACTCTTGTAAACCCATTTCGTAACAGTATTAGGCCTGTTTGTGAATTTCTGATATATCTGATCGAATTTAGAACTCGTCCCACTTTTGTTACACTTGGCTACCGATATTGTTATTCTCAAAACAATCACTTAGGCTGAAATTTCAAAATTCCCTTGACGACAACATCACGATATTTCCACTTATAATGTTCAAGAGAGTCATTTAATTATAAAAATAAATAATTCACTTCGGAATATACGATAGACGCAAATATTTATGTAGACGCGCGTTCAGAACTCAAAAACTTCATGTTTAAAATAAAACGTGTGTTGCGAACGATCGACTTAACATTCGAATAATTCCAGATATTTCACGTGAAACATTTCGATTCGGTATTCCGATTTATCGGCACAATGATAATTTAAAACGGGAGTTGAATGCACTGATCGCATAGAATTCTTTCAATTCCTCGCAGTTCCATCCAACTGGCACGAGACGTCACGCATACACTATTGTAGGTCTTCGTACTTACGTCCATCAACTTTAATATAGATATTTAATCACTATAATACAACACCAATTAAAACTCTGTCTGTTTCCTATCAAAAATATATCGGAAGAGCAACAAGTAATAATCGATTAGCAACGAGGAAACGGTGGAACTCTATCGATGAGAAGATCCGCTCGTTACTAAAGTCGCTAGGAACAGTTTGATACCTTATCACGTCACTTTTGTAACAAACAACGGTCCGCCTTGCACTGCCCTGGCCTACTGAGAACGTGTGCAGATCGGCGAAACGGTCTTGCACCAACTGATGTATGATGTACCTGCGATAGCTGTTCACAGGTGGAAAGACGAGTACCCTGTAAAAGTGAAAAGTACGCGTTACGATCGCCGTTGAAAGTGAGACCGAACCGAGAACGGGTGAACGTAACCGACTCGCCTCAAGCCGTATCCCGTCAGATGAACAACATACGCCAGCTAACTTTTACATAACGTTTTACTTTCTCCTGCGTTTTGGTTTCCTTAAAATCAGAGCCATCCTTGTGGCCAAAAATATTGCTATTCGTCAAGGTCTCGAATAAAACAGTAAATACCATGATTTTTAACTCTTTTTTTAATTAAACTTCTCCAATACAAATTTGAAACATCCCGTTTATAGATTCAAATACGATAATTAGATTAGAAATTTTAAAAATCGCAATTTTTCTAAAGTTATATAGCTTTCATTGAACTACCATTTACAAACACACGACAGTATTAAAAAAATGGAAACGATATAAATAAATATAATAATAAAAAGCAGGTATGCAGTCGTATGCACATTTCAAAGCCCGAAACAAGGTATCACGGTAATTTTTAAATTCCAGTGTTCCTCCATGACAATATCAAGGAAAAAAGAAACAGTTGAAAATTCAAATGCATAATCGATAATTTTCTATATGTACTTTAACACTATTTTATAGGAACTAATCAATTAGATCGATGAATCATTAAAAAATATATGAACTGTCAAAAGTTCTTCATATAACATTTACATAACAACTTACAATTAGAGAAAATTCAACGGTACTAATAATAAGCTCTCATGAATCCAGATAACATTTATTTAAAAAGTTGTTTTACATCTTCAGTAATTTTGGAGAAAACATACGGGAACTATTAGCTATCACAAAGAATAGTCGTACGATTAGAATGGCGTCTTTCTCGATAATCAATTTTTATAAATACTGTGAGTTGGAAGCACCAATTAGTCACAAATAATCACTAGTCACAAAATCACAATAAATATTTTGAAGTGATATGATGGAATATGTAATTTCGGCTCTACATCTTTAAAACTTGCATGTTCTTCTACCTTTTATTCTTATAAACATTTTAACAGTTGTACATCGTGGCCGTTAACTGTTTCACATATGTTGGTACTAATAAACTTCATACTTACTAGCAGGAATAGCGCCTATTTCGCAGAAATTAAAAAATAATTGACTTTTCATCAAATTATACACGATCTTCAAATTAACACTTCGTTCTTCGACACCGTACTTCTACCTTACGCGACGACTATACGACGAATGAAAAAGGTCTTTAGGCACTTACCGTTATGCAGGTATAAGCCATAAAGTCTTTGCACTCTAGTTTTTCCATAGGTATAGTACAGAGTACCCAACCTAACAACTAAAATTTCGTCAACAAAAAATTCGTTTTCGAGGTTCTGGATACGTTTTGGCCATTTTTGACCATTTTGCAACGGTGCAACGCAAGGATGTGTATGTGTATATTACGTACGATGACCATACGTCCTGTATTTTCGGAGACAGTTCTGTATTTATTTTTTAGTCCCGTATTTGCATATTATATAGGGTGTCCCTGGATTAAACGATCAAACTGCACGAGTATATTCTATAAGTAAAATTAAGAAAAAATGTACATGTACAACACTTGCAAACTCTTTATAAGAAACTTATAAAAGAAATGAACCTAAAGTCAGTAGCGAGTTCTTTGTTGTACATCGGAATGTAACAATAAGGAGATTATGTAACCTGCTCCACCTTTGAATTTTCAACTGTTATTTTCTCCTATAATTTTCATGGAAGAATACGGGAATTTAAAGAACATTGTGATATCTTGTTCCAAGCCTTGAAATGTGCATACATGCATTTTATTACAATATTTATTTATATCGTTTTCATTTCGTTCATGCTCTTGTTTGTTTGTAAATGTAAGTTCAATGAACGCTGTATAACTTGTGACTCATGGATCCTTATTTATAAATGTACTAAAATTCCAACGCGAAGTACTGTTCAAGTTTGAATTGTTTATTTTTGTTCAAGTTCTTATTTTCAATAAAAAATAGGATAAATAAATAAAATATATAGAAAAAATAAAAATAGGAAAATTCTTGTATTAGATTATTTTATACGGTACAATTTATGAAATAATCCAATACAAGAATTTTTCTATTTTTATTTTTTCTATTTATTTTATTTATTATAGGTTATAATTCCCACCTTCTTTCATGTCCCCAATTTCGCGCCAAAAAATATGGTCACTGTATATGTATATGTATACATGCATATCATGATTTCGTTAAGGCTTCGAAAAATTACGCTTCGTAGTAACGCGTAATCGGTTGTTGTGCTCGGATCAACAAACCGGAATTTATCACGTGCGACCGGTTGTCTTTAGAAAGTAATCAAGAGCGTTAGAATACGTGCACATGATTCAAAGAGGCTGGAATAGGACATAGTCTGTTTCGTCACGGAAAATAAATAAATGATTTCTGCAAGCAAAATGGGTTTTCACTTCAACTTCGTTGCGCCTTGCGATAGTTAAATTGTCACACAGTAAAAAAGCGCCTTGACTTACGATTTCATTTGATTGAATAGTAAACAGTGTAAACAAGTTGAATGAGACCGGTTAGTTTAGCTACTATAAATGCGGTAATGTAGTTGGTATTAGATGTTTACAGAGGACTGTAACATGCTAATCGTTTAGGTGGAACGGACCGTGTAGAGACGTGGTAAACCGTGGTTCTGCGTATACGTATTTCCCTGGGTTGTAGATATGAAAGCCGAGAAGAAAAAGAAATCGACTTCGACTGGCAATGGCAGAACAAAACAACCATCTCTCCTTTTCTTCCTTTCTGCTACTTTCCTGGGAATATCACCGTTGAATCGTTCTATCGCGGATTCGATCTGTTAATTACGTCGACTAAATCGACAAGCCTTGAACTACAAAGTAATAACGCTGACTATACCATGTACTGTACGTATATCTCGTAAGTGTTGCGTCGTTCACGTAATCAAGCGTGTATATACGTGAGCCACATACGCTAAACGACTCGTTCCACTGCTAGATTAGCAATTATCCGTGCAGAGTCTTCAAAACGTTCTCTGTACGCTTCGTCTCAAATAGTTTTATGAACAATCGACACGGTTTTGCGAAATATTTACGTACCGCTTGTTTTTCAAATAAAACTAATCGACTGTTTTCTTTCCGAGATAAATTGGTTGATTTAAAAATAAAGACACAGGAACAATGTCTTCTATTAACATTTCTGTTTCGGATCAACGCTCTTGCTTTACGTGAAATTAAGAAAGATAAAGTGCATATGTCTTCGAAATTCGATAGAACGTCAACCGATAAAGAATACAAAATGTCAACAGTTGTGAAATACATTTGTTGATTAAACTTTTCCTCTAAGAAATTTCTTTTTTAAATCGAAATTTATTTTATTATTCTTATTATTTATGGCTNACTCGTACATCAATGCAACTCTGATTTTTTTCATCAATTTCCATTCATTAAAATCGGAAATCAGCCATTCAATAGAATCTCAGAAATAAAATTCCCAAAATATCGAAAATCGTATATCAAAGGATATCCCTTTAATTAGTCTAATTAACTTTCTGGCGAATGAATTCCTAAACTAAAAAGTTTTTTTTTTGCATGTTTGTTCGATACGTGGATGAAGATAAATTTCGAATGAAAAGACAGTTTAAAGTTCACATCATTTTTTTTCCTGGCGAACTGCCAATGGCGATTCTTAGTTTTTTTATGTTCAACAAACGCTATACGCGCGACCCGCTAAAAATAGAACCTTTCGGCAAGGCAAAAAGCATGGTTGTTCTAAGTGCCATGCAATGAAAAAGGTGCACGAATCTAACGGAACCGTCTAAAGGTGCACGCGAACACGACCAAGAGCAACGACCATAGGAAGACGATATCAGTCATTTACCTCTAGACCAAGATATTTATAAATATTCCTCGCGGAGCCCGCAAAAGGAGTCGATAAATCGTTACGCGCTTTTCAGCTTTGTATGGTATCGTAAATCCTTCCAATTGTCTTTGAATTCTGATCGCGCGTCAAGGATGCGAATAAAGATATTTAACATAACTTCGATGAAACAGTTAAAAAATATTGCGAACTGTCAAACGGACGGTAATTCACGATATGAATCTTAGATTATAGATTCGACAAGTCTGTCAACTGAATGCCTGAATGGTTGCACGGCAGGTTTTGAAACGCTGAGATTATTGACACCTAGAGAAAGCTTTACAGCGGAGTGCGATTAGTGTACGCAGAAATCGAAAGTGAAGAATAATGCCCGAAGACACGAGTGCGAGGACCGTTATAGTGATCTAACCTTTAAAGGCGCGTCGCTGCATCAGGAAACGTGATCATTTGATTGTCCTACCTTTTTCGTTTCTTGTCCCTTGAAAATAGAGTCACGTCATGCTCCACTTCCTCGGAGAAGAGGCTGTCTTGCAGGCTCATTTATCCGCGAGAGTGGGTGCAGAATACGCGTACGAGATATCGTCGACACTTAAAATCAAACTCATCGAGAATTACGCGATAATAATCACGTTTACCGTGCTGCTAGGTAGCAGCGACGGTCTCACATCGACGCACATTGACCATAAACTACTTTGGATTATACCGCGCATGCGTTGTATCGCTGCGTCTAGCCTCTCATCGCGCGTGCGCCAGTCTTTAAACTAAAGCCGTGAGTTTTCCGTGCGTGCTCAATCGTTCATCTCCGCGCCTTTTTCTGCTAGAAATTAATGTGAGTTTTTACGTTTTGTTTAATTAATTTTATTATAACATTTATTTTTATTGCTTACTATCGTTTTTATTGAATTTTCTTATTACGTCTGTAACCGGTGCGTTAAAACTTTGCACATTCGCATCTGCAACGTGCGATTGTCGCAGAATGGCGCAAATGCATGTTATAATTTTCACAAATTGTTAAAGAAATATTGAAACATTTGAAGATCGGATTTCCTCCTCGAAGTGCAAAACTATTTCGAATCATTCGATTAATTAATATTCGCGATAATTAATCTGACGCTGTTTTACATGCAATTGTATGAGTTTGGGGATGTTAGTGAAAAATTCGCATTTAAGTTAGTTTTAACTGGGACAATACTGTACAAAACATATTTATTTAATAATTTATAGAGATACACACATAGTGTACAACGTATAAGCCCTAGCGTTCACAAAATGCCGCTACTTTATAAAATCGATTTCATTTCACTTTTTTTATTCCCCCTAGAATAATTATATACAATCACACGTGTTTTTCGCTTTACATTGTTCGCTGAAACAATTTCATTAAACTACAAGCGACAATCGGCCCGCGTTTCGCTCAACGCGTCATAATGCTTATCAAATCCATCAAGAAAATATGTCGCATCTGATAAAATTTTTTTTGTATCTCCGGCATTGAGAGAAACTTGGCGCCATGTTAGAATGTATATAATGCGTAAACATACAAAGTTAAAAGGGTCCAAAATCGATCGTGACCGGACCCAGCTTCTCTCGCTCGCCCGCTCCTATGTTTCTTTCCTCTAATACAAAGCTGCGTCTACGCGCAATATTATCGGAATTCTGTCAAAAATATTCTATATACACTCAGGGTATGTATAAAAAGAAATTCACGTCTTAAGATTACGAGAAGGGCAATCTTGTTCCGTGTTGCGTTACGGAAAAAGCAACAAACTCGCAGAATTGTATCCGTACAAGAATACGTGATGGTGTGTGCATACTTACTGTAAGAATCGTAACGATCCTAACGTAAGACTACGACTTCTTACGTACAAATAAAGCCGTTACAATTTGGCGAAATTTTAAGGTCGGAAGATGCCTCTGCTGTACGCACGTCTACGATTGCAAACGTCTAGATAAGACCTCGTCGGTGTTTTTTGAGACTTTCATTGTTTTAAGTGTTTTTTCTATACTTAGAACTTTCGATTACGGCACTGCATCTTACGACGGTCACCAGCCTAAAATTTTGCCTGTTGGTACGTAAGATTGTTTCATCGTTAAGATCCTTGCGGTAAGTTCGAACAAACCATGTGACGTGTCGCGTTAACGAGAATATTATATATAACAGTGTAACTAAATATTTAGAATTACGTTCAGCGATACTACGAGCGAACGAAAAAACTTGTTTCCTGTTTTCTCGTCGTTACAGCTTCGCGTCGCTTCTCATTTCTTGGTCTACTTACACTTACGCTTCATACAAATCTACAATTGATGCGCGACGAATCTTAAAAGGTCGAGTTAATGTAACTCAGTTTAAGAACGCCCCGAATACTAAATAGAAAGGGAATAGAACATGTTTGGGATGTATAGAACGACAGAACTTGTATCGTAACAATACGCGGTGCTCAAGCTATCGTAATCTGGTTACAGCGATATGGTAGAAAGACGGTAATTTCGAGGCGATCTTTCTTCCATCGTTAAAAATTATTTTCGCATTTGGTGCGTGAAAGCTAAGAAATAAGTACTATGACGAGACAATACACGGATAGAACTAGAAAACGTATGAGATAGGTACAAGATTCTTTGTGACTTCGATCGCGTATCGAACACAGAGATATCATTCTTAAATATCTATTCGTGGTCTATATTGTAGCCTTAAAGGTGGGTCCCGAAACCTCCATCTCGTCACATAAACAAATTTCAATGTATGGTCCTTACCTAATAGTTCATCATTGCATAAAATATCGATCTGTAAAGACATTATTCAATCGGTAACTCGTACATTTAAAAAGAAGGAATTAATCTCGCGTAATGTTTACTTACGTCTCGATACTTTTCCATTCCACTCAGTACTTTCTTAGCGATAAACTTTTTTAAATGCGTAATGGTTGCTTGGGCAGAGCACCTGATGAACCGTCTCTTAAGGGTTTTTAAACTTGTGTTTATACACTCCAGACAGACGTTGACCTGTGAAAATATTTGTTACTCAGTAAAAGAGAAATTATTCAATCTATGCGTCTTCTTTAAAATATTTTTACCTGTTCATCGGTGCGATGATAATCAGATTCTGCGTGTGTATCAGCCGTTGCTTTTTCATCTTCGACATCCCCAGTATTCGGTAGGATATCTTTCGGGCAAGGTAAACCCCTTGCTCTATAAAATTCTCTTTCTCTTTTAATTTCAGCTGAGGAAAAACGTGTCAAATCATGGAATCAGTAGTCATCAGATTTATAATGAAATTAAATGAAATAAGAAGGAATACTAACTTTCTTGAAGATCAGGAACTAGTTTATAGACAATATCTTGCATAGTTCTGTCAAAGCTTATGTATTGAAGGGGATGCGATTGATGTATGACAATTTGGCATGTTGGACACGTATGCTTCTCTTCTAAATGTTTCACTAAACAGCTCTTACAAAATGTATGTAAACATTCGGTAACGGTAGTAGCATCTATCAAGTAACCCTTGCATATCTTGCAGATTATATGGCTGTTCAATGTTTTTAACTTGATTCTCCTCTCCATGGCACTGTTAATCACCATTTAATAAATATTATTCTCTGTAATATATCACACAGCAACTGTCAGAATTCATGGGCAACTAAATTACCCCAAAATTTGATAGATTACAAAAGCACATTAGTGGGTAATAATTTTGATCGTTCGGTCACGATGGGTGGGAAAAACAACAAAATAACTTTGACACACTGGTACACATAAGGTGGTGCAGCAGGAACATTTGCAAGATTCTATGATACCTAAATTACACAGAATTCATCGAATAGTCACAATGTTTGATTCGTTCGAAAGTGTTCGACGAATGGAACAGACACCAGTGGATGATAATCGGTGGGGTAAAATAAATTCGCTGCTCCGTAAAAAGTGGGTTATCGGATTCTAACCTGAATGATAAGTGTTAGCGTACAATGGTAACTTTCACTCGCGTTATTCGTTAGGAAGTTTCGTGCGTACAGTCCGTACCATCCTTGGCATATTATTTTCTCGCTGAGTCGAAGCTAAGTGGAGAAATACAAAATTAAACTACCCACTAAAAACCTGTTAAAAACAACTTAGTGTAAATGTGGCTGATGACAACAAAACGAACTGATACGAGCGCCATCATTCGTCTTGTCGTTAACTTTTCTCTCGACACGCGGTTCCGTCTCGCGGTGGGGGTACTCAATATTTTTTGGATCAATTAATAAGCGCAATTTGTCCGTAAGTAATTGTTAAACAGGATTAACTACCTCGAGCAGGTCATTTAAAAAAATTTTAACAAAATATTGAAACCTTGCATGTATTTTCTTTTTCTACTTAAATGATATAAGACCAAATAAAAAAATTGATCTACAGTTATCAGGAATATGAATTATGGATACGGGTGATCATACTTTCGGGAGCGAAATGGAGAACAAAAAAGAAGGTGGGAATTACAAGCAAGCAATAAAAGATAAAAATAAAATTCTTATATTGGATTATTTCATAAAGTATTCATTGAATAAAAAAAGAAAGTCTTCATGACGTAACAATTTATTTATTTAATTACTTATTTATTTAAACCGTTTTTATGATGAATTAGTATCAGTTCCGAAATTTCGTGGCAAGAATTAATAGAAAGTATTAGTAGTGCATTCACTGATTTAAAGCAAAGTAAAGATGAAATTCAGAGAATGATAAATCCAGTTTCCTGGAAACTACCAAGCTTGTATCCGTAATGGACTGTACTTTGAAACATGGAAACATGAAGTATGGAAACATAAACTTCCTTTCAATGTAAAAAAGCTTGATCATAAAGCGTTTGCAGATCTAAGTTTATATAACATTTTTCTTCACTTTTACTGAGAACAGAATGATGAATTTATAATATGCAGGACTAAAAAATAAATGCAGATCATTACTTGTACGTCCCTCATTTTTTAAAAGTATTTTAAGGACAGGCTACTGAAATACAGAACGGATGGTAATTATGGAATTTCTATTTCTAGAACGATAATTTACGAATCATATCTTTTGCTCGACATTTTCTTAATCCTTCTTAGAATTCTAATTTTATAATAACCGAAACGGAAGAGGAGAGGACTAGAAATTGTCAAAACATTTGGGAATAATAAATAAATGATAGACATCGAATGATGTGGGTACAGTTTCCAGTGATTTATTCGAGACGAAACTGACGTTACAATAATAATCCAATATTTACGCAGACTATACGTACGATCTACCTTGGTAAATGCTGATTTACTGTCTACCTTTAGGTGCAGGGTAACGGAAAAAAAAAATTAAAAGAAAGAGATGAGAAAACTTTTAAATAAACAGGCCGGTACTATGTACAAATTCCTGTCGCTTTTACAAATTTTCGGTAATTAACTAATTAATTCATTTTATATTTTACACATATCTCGCTTCGTTTGTCCAGTGATAATAAAAAAAAGAGTTAACGTTCTAAAGTAAGACCTAAGTAACAATATACAGAGAAATAAATTATCTACTACTAAGCACCTCTCGCATGCACCATTTATACATCTCTTCTGCATTGTACATCCACGTGGACGATGCGATAAATTTATAATTCTGTTTATATTTTATCTATCACGTGCAAAGTTATTTCTCGTTGCTTCGGTAGAAAATTATACAATACATCTTTAATCGAACGACTTTTTGCACTCGTCTCTGCACGACGAGGACACTTCCGCTGCACTACGTATTTAAACGATTTCTTCATATTCCTAGAATTGTAAAAATTAGTTAGAACGCCAGCGAAACGTGTCACTCATCGTTCCTTACAACCTACGTGTATAATCGTTTTCGCTTTCTACAAGAACTAGAAGATACGCGTTCGTTGTCCACTGAAGTCCATAAAAGTAATTAACATTATACATAGTTTAATAACCGTTCGAGCTATGTTACAGAGAAACGTACAAGTTTTTATCAATTGACTAGTTACAAACACGTTATCAGACGATTCTCTCCCGTGCAAACCGATGCACCACTCGTGTCGCGTTATTACCATTCATTTTATTTTTTGTTTAACGAACACAAGAAGCCCTGGCGGAACATTTATTTTTCTCTCCGTATCTTTTTCCCAAGGCACTCATTAATGGCACGCTAGTAACATATAAAATTGGACGACATCAGAATTTTTTACAAACGTTATTTATTATTATCTTGTTGCTTTGGCAGCGAACGTAGTTCAGATATGCACCAAAGTCTTTGATACAGTTTGTTGATCATTCAACGAACAACAGGACCTGAGAAACGTACAAGAATCTCGTGGAACAATAAATAATGTTCCAGGCATAGCAAGATCGTTTTTCAGTCACGATCGTTTTCAATCCGATTTCTCAGGCTATTAAGATATGAGGAAAATAAATACAGTGTTCTTCAGTTAAAAAATCAGTCTCCTTGAAGGCCGGAGTTTCTTCCTCGATCGATTTTTTTTATCTTCTTAACTCTACGGAATACGCGCTAAACAGGTCAATACTGATTTATATTATTTGGCGTGTTCGCTAGGTCAGTCGATCGACTTTCGTTCACCAGCGTTCTCCGCTGATCTTCTGTGTATCTTCGTTCATTTTCTTCTTCCGTTTCTTCGTTCTCGTTCTTCGTTTTTCTGCATATAACTGTACACATTCTTCGTCGATTCTTCGCGGATTCTTACAGTAAGTAGGGGAATTTCTCATCGCCCTCGTCATCTTCGGCTTCGCTAGACTCTTGGCTGGAAGGCGGCGTGTCCAATTGCGGCAGGCCAAGATCCAAGTATTCCTGAAGACACAAGTTGAATCACAAAAAATTATTTTTTCTTGTATTTCAGTTATTGTTGAGTCGTTTATGCAAACTATTTCTCACCTCGTTCGCGGTGATCGTCAATATCCTGTCGAGATCCTCGACTAGTTCTCCAAACATTGGTCGTTCGTTGGGCTGGTAACTCCAACAATCCCTCATTAACATATATCTGTAATTGATAACGTGATTTTTTTATAATACGACGATTGATACTATATCGTGTGCTCTAGAATAAGGGTGTGAAAGAGAATGAAAGTCTGAGTCAAAAACCTTCCACTTTTTCCTCCAATCATTATTAACGAAGTTATTAATGATTAGAGGAAATAGAAGAAGAGGTTTTGACTCAGAATTTTGCCATCTTTCACATCCTGAGAAGAATGTCGTTCATTCTATGACACCCTGTATAATGCATTGCAGGAAATGAAGTTGTTCTTACATTTCAATGGAACAACAGGGTGGTTTCTCCATTCGATGACCAGTTCGGAGTAACTGGAACAATTTTTCTACGGATGGTACGGACGGATAGGGTGTCCCACCTAATGTCATAATCTCCCACAACAGAATCCCGTACGACCATCTGGAAAGCATCATTTGGAATGAAAACTTTTTTTTTTACATCGAATGATGCCTACAATTCTATTATATAAATAGACTGCGGATTTTATGCATTTGCAGGAAGACTGAATATAAAGAATGCGTATAATAGTATATAAAAATATATAAAATATGAGAAGGTATGCTTGATAAATTTCTATTTATCACATTTTTTTAAATCGATATCCTAAACGTTTTGTTTTGCATAAAAATAATTGGGTACTCACACGTCAGACTGAGTGGTGTATACCCTATGAAACAGAGCCTCAGGTGCCATCCATTTGACAGGCAGCCTTCCATCCGTAGTCTTCCTGTAGTAATCGTGGCAATGAATGTCTCTGGCCAGACCAAAGTCAGCGATTTTCAGCACGTATTCATCGCTGACCAACACGTTCCTAGCTGCCAAATCCCTATGGATACATCTTCTGCTCGCCAAATATTCCATTCCCCTCGCCACTTGGTAGGCGAAGGACACCAGGTCCTTTTGCGTGAGAGTCTTCTTCTCCTTTGGTTCTTGACCGATCGTCGGCTCGTACCCTGAGGAAGGCCTATGATCCCGCAAGAAATCGCGGAGATTTCCGTGTGGTGCGAATTCCACGACCACGTACAATGGCCCCCCTTGCGTACAAGCTCCCAGCAGATTGATTATGTTCACGTGCTTGCCGATCATTTTCATCATCTCCATCTCGGATATCAAGTCCATCATTTCCGCGTCGGTGTGACCCTCTGTGATTATGTTTGTAATTGGTGATTAGTTGACGATTGAGAAAAATGTTTAAATATTAACCCTTTGTGGATATCGAATACTGCTAGGTATCACAAGAACCAAGGAGAACACCTCATTAAATATAATTATTTTTACCATTAAAAACAGATTAAAATATTATTAAGCACAATTATTTATTTTTAGGAAAATGCAAATTCATCCACAAAGGATTAAAACGCTTAAATTATACGATTCTCACCTTTCAACATTTTCACGGCTACAACGCTAGGAATGCCAGGTTTCCCGGCGTTCGTTTGCGCCCTGACTACTTTCCCGAAGGCTCCCTCGCCCAAGGTATTTCCCAGAGTCAGATGCTCTCTGGACAACTCCCAGGCGCTGTCCAACGGAAGTTCGTACTCTGAGATGCTTCCACCGTTACTGTCCTCCGTGACCACGGTAGATTTTTGCTTCTCGATCTTCACCACGGGCATTAGTAACGGTTCTTGAACATTCTGCGAATTCACCAGATTCTGCTTCTCGACGATCACCTTCTTCGTCCATTGAGTGACGACCGCCGCCCGCGCCGTTTCGATCGCGAGCAGTTTCTTCATCTTCTCCCGCTTCAGACGATGGAAAATGTATATGACTACCACCACGCCCACAGCGAAGAAGATGAACAGAACGGCGGCGAGGACGTTCACGAGAATCTGCGGTTTCGCCGTTAACGGCATCCCTTGATCTTCCAAGGCTATTGATAGACATCCAGATTTATAACTCCATATTTGAGCGGATGGCGACGCACAGTTTTTGGTGAACTTGCAGAAAGCATGTGTCATCACCGATTTTAGTAATACGACAGAAAGACATTCAAAATATTGCCCTTCACTGAGTAATTGAATTACATAAAAATCGGTGAGAACACATGATTTCTGCGAGTTTAATTAATTCTTTATTCTACTTACTCTCGACTACTTGAAGATAGGCACTGCTAAATGTTTCACCTAATGCGTTTTGGGCGATGCAAGTATACCAGCCTTTATCTTTCATCGTTACGTTGTGTAACGTCAGCACTTCCGGATTTTCCGCGCCTGTTGCCTATTGATGAATACAAATTTCCAAAATGAATTCAACACGGTTTAGATAGATCATGCGAGAATGGTTTTGGGTAAAGGTTTCGAGCTTCTGCGAGATTTTATAGACTGCGAATTCTATGCATTTATACGCAGAAACAATCCGGAGTATCAAAAATTGAATGGATATTTCAATGTTTGTTTAGAATACAATTTTAAAACTAGTACTGTAAGCATTTAATTTTGCAAAAAAATCCTCAGCCTATTTATAGGACGTGTAGGTTACGTGTAGTAAATGAGGGACTGGACAAAAGGAAAAATATTTTACAGAGTTGTTTGTAATTAAGTCAAGAGAGATGTTAATATTGTTATGTATAGAGGTGGCTAGAAACATGTATTTACATACAATATGTATATTTTTATAACAGGTGCAAGCAAAAGCGTAGAGTGTGTAGTGTCATGCAGTTTCAGTATAGGTTCTACGTGCCCACCTTGACCTCCACCCGCAAACTCTGATCGCTTTCGTTGATAGTGTCGAGAGAGGTGTGATAACCGTGATACCATTCGAGGTGACGGTGCATGTCCGATAGAACCTCGCAGATCATAGTAACGTTGCTCCCTACCAGAACAGTCGTGTTTCTCGGAGCTCTGGTCAGTATCGGTCGGTGTTTCACGGTCTCTATAGGAAAAATAGACCCAACCACCGTTTTTACCAAGCTCGAGTACCGAAAGGCAGAAATCAGGCGAAAAGAAATCTCTTGGAGCCAAGAAATATACTGGGTCGTACACATAAAACCAAGTAAAACATTTACTGTTGATTTTTAAGCAAGTTTGGTAAAATAATAAAATATGAACAATTTAATATAAATAGTATTTCCCGGATTTAAAAATATTTATGTCTATATACGTAGTATCTAAAATTTCAAGCAAGTACGATAATTTTAAGTCTGCTAATCGCATATCTTAATTTTTGATCGTGTTCATGATGATGTCGTGATCGTCTCCGAAAATTTATAATATGTGATGATACCATGATTTTCGAGAGCATTATGCCCTTGGGTTTGAAGAATATCATGTGATATTTTTAGATAACAGACGAAATCAGAGGATATAAGCTTTTAAGGAAGTATTCCTGAGATACATAAGAGATATCGGATTTCAAGTAGAGATTGATGAAGATATTGGTGTCCACCAGAGTACAGTTGTACAATACATTTGTTGCATATATTGTACAGTTGCCCTCAAAATCATGCCAAACTTCACGACTGGATTAAAAATAACGATGAAGTAGGAAAAGGCAAAAGATTGGCAGCTGAAATTCAATTTGTTGCATAGGAGCTTCAGACTTTACATATGTTGAAATACTCACATAATCTCAGAAAATTCAAGATCTCAAATAATGTTTAAACTAGATATGATAGCAACGAATTATTTGTTTTTATGCTACTAATCTGGGTTCTACTCATTATATCTAGATTAATTGAAATGATTGTCTGTTATAAAGGGCGATTTTCGAATATCAGACACACGATTAATTAAAAATCTTAAAATCTAGTTTTTGCATGGCATAGAGTAAATATTTCAAACACAAAGTAAATAGTATAAATACTAGTAGTAGTTACTTAAAATTTACAATACTTGCTTCCTGTTAATAGAAGATTATACATAAAAATCTAGTAATTGCTTTTACTTTTTATTTTTATGCATACGACCTAATTTCTATACATTTTCATGTCTCTTTGTCACATTTTTCCAAGAACTTGGTTCTCCAAGAGATCTCGATTCTCACATATCCGAGAGAAGACATTAAAGAGAAGAGAAGAGACGCTGTTAAAAACAACAAAATATATGTACAATTTACGTGGCACCTGAAAAACACCGAAAAACACACAGACTTCCTTCACCATCGTTAGTCACTGAGATTATTTAACGCGATCGTTGTCTGATTACACACAGGCCACTGGAATCCTACAGACTCTATATCTTTGAGTCGAGAATAGAAAAAGATAATCTATTTCTTCGACGATTAATAATAATCCTCAATCGAGAAGACACAGGAACCTCCACCTCCATATAAGCTGCTCTGTACTTGTGTACCTGAAGGAGTTTCCCAGTTGGTGTTTTCTCTTGGTCAGTAGGGTACTCGAGTACTTTCAGCCACTGTATATACGGTTCGAGATCGGACACGATAGGACACTTGAACGTCACCGTACTCTTCACCGCCGCGGTTACGTTCTTCGGAAAATCCACGTTGATGTACGGTTTATGCGGAAAACGTTCTATAGATTCATGAAAATTCACGACCGTTTAATCCCCGGTCCGGTTTCAGCCACGCGACCAGATAGTAGGAATAGCGTTCCCAGTGAAAAATTGATAGAAAGTCGTAATTTTATCGAATTATTTTTGTATGTTTAATACGCAGTAATAATAGGAAACGAATTATTTTTAATCTATCTCAGAAAGAAGTGTCTTTCCAATCGAATATAAATTCTGCATTGCATGTATTACAACTTCATGTACCAATCTTTTAAGTACTAATCTTACATGCTTACAATTAAGAACTAAACTAAAGACACGTATCTACTTGTATTGTACCCTGTATCGTATCACCGTTGCGTATCATTCATGCAACAATTTCAATAAAAAGGTGAGCATTCTTACTAATTGTCAAATTTTTGAAAATCAATGTATTATACAATCCAGATTAAAACGTATTAATTAATATCAACAAAAGAA